ATCTGTCTCGTATCCCAGTGTCTGGCACATAGTAAGTACACAATTAATGGAACCTCTTATTATTAGGAGCCCTCATGTCTTTCTTAGTTTTATAGGGTCCTGCTCAGTGTGCTGCTAGCTGTTCTTTCTGAAGGTCTTTCTGTGGATTTTTTTCCTGGTACCTCATTCTAGTAAAGGACAGTGGTGGCTATTCATTGTTCATTCAGAAACTTGATAAGAAGTACTTTATACATATATTCTTAATTAATTCTCACAATTCCATGAGGTAGGTACTCTAATTATTTCCTTCTTATAGTTCAGGAAACTGAGGCACAGAGAGGTTAAAAAACTTGCTCAAGGTCACCAAATAAGTAAGGGCTGAGCTGGAATTTGAATCTGTCTGTTTCATTCCAAACCCACTCTCTTCACCGTAATGCTGTGGAGTCCAAGGCTGACTGGTACAGTCAGCCCAGTGAGGATGGTTTGTGATTAATATTCTCAGTCTAAGCACTTTTGTAGTCCAGAGGAGGAGAAGAGAGAAGTTGGTAACTGGGGAAGGCTAATGGAGCATGCAGTTGGGAGGGGGACTTGACCAATGGGTAGACATGAGGTCAGTGGAGAAAAGTGGGTGGAGGGTTCCAAGCAGGTGAGCCTGTGGGAGAGAGCTTGTGATCACGTGGGAGCAAAGACGGAAGCTACTAAATAGAAGTGGACTTTAGAAATAACCGATCTTCTCTTATTTTGGTGCCTCCTAGATTGTTTTGTGCCAGAATAACATCCGTAATCAGACCCACATGAACAGAGTGGTCACCCACGAGCTCATTCACGCATTTGATCATTGTCGTGCTCATGTTGACTGGTTCACCAGTGTCAGACATCTGGCCTGCTCAGAGGTGGGCTTATTGTGAAAGATACGTATTTTCCACCTGAATACTGTGTGTGGACATTTTATTCAAGTATAATTTATTTAAACTTATTTCTTTTCTTCCTATCATAGTTCTACCTTAGTCTTGAATTTCTGTTTTTAACTATTATTGAATACAATTTTTGAGCTACAGCTAGAGAAATTTTAAGTATCTTATTAGAATTGTTTTGAGTATAACCTTTAAGTCCTAATAATAGTGATAACTCACTTTAATTGTAATAATAAACTTAATTTTTTCTGTGTTATAAATTATGTAATATAAAAAAATAATGAACATTTACTGAGAGCTGTGTGCTAAACACTGTTCTGTTTGTGTGGATTCTTATTTAATCTTCACAACAATTATGGAATCAAAACAACTGCCTCACTTTCCACATATGCAAGTAAGTGGCAGAGGCAGGATTACAACCAGGGTTCTTTTTCTTTGCCTTCCCTAGGTAAAGATCCGTGCTTGCCCTAGAGTAAAACATTTAGTTTCAAAAATTCAACATAAAAAGATATTTCTTATTAAGCACTTTGGATTGCTGTCAGAAGTATACATATATATGCTCCTAGACAGACATGTATTTCATACTTACATTTCATTAATTGAAGAATGCACTGTAATGAGACATTAAAAATCTAATATAAATCTCAAGCTTACATTTTTATAACTTAGATTATTTTCTCTTTCCCTTAAAATTAATATGTGTCCCCACTACATCTAATTATAATTCTTGTTATTTGGAGAATAGACTAAAACTTGAGTTTTTAAATAGATCTCTCTTGGGTGTTATGAGAATTAATATCTGTTAGCTAGTTAAAATTTGTTAAACTCCACAGAGGAATGAGGCCATGTTATTGTAGAAGTAACCAGAAGCAGGCAATTCTGTTTGAAATGAATGGGCAAAAATGTGGCTAGGCTAGCTGTGGAATCTATGTGGGTAGTTCCAAGACTCTTTTATCTATTAAAGTATAGTAAATTAGAAAATAAATACTAAGTTCAGTCTGTCATGCTCATAGTATGACCCATTTGGAAGGTTCTTGACTCTTTGTGTTTTGTACAACTTAATTTTTTTTTTTAAAAAGATGACCGGTAAGGGGATCTTAACCCTTGACTTGGTGTTGT